AACGGGTCCAGGCTGATTGCTTGAGGATGAACAAATGCCCTTCGTTCTAAGGGCAAAGCCTGCTAAGCAAGCCTTGTCTGAGCACATGATCCCAGATACAATTGGCAAACGAGGTGGCATGCTGCTCTCTCAAACTCCGCATGGCCAACTTTTGCAAAAAAACATGCGCAACCCACAGCAGGAAAATTGGGGTCGTGTTTAGCAATGATTGCACCGGGCTGCACAGGACCCGCCCCCACAAACCGAGTGGTGGACCATGACCAGAACAATCTGCTCTGCTTCCATTTTCAGAGGGTCTGGCCAATGTTCCATACCTGTTTCCCACCCTCGCGCCGCCACCGGCTCTGGTGCTGCTGCTTCACCCTCGCCATCCTGAGCCGGGCTACTGTTCGCACGAAGCATCTGGACATCTCTTGCTATGTTACTTGCATTAAGTCTCTTAAGTAGCAACTTGCGTAATCGTGACCATCAGGCCTCCTCATCATCGAAGGTCACGTCCCCCACCGGCGCCTCGGGGGCTCTGGCTTAGTGAACATCCTAAGCGCAGGACTAGGCTTACCGGACGGAAAACAAGACACTGAGGGCAAAATCAAGGGATCGAGTTGGCCCAAGGTGGCGTCGGTCGGAAGAGCGTTAAACACGTCATTTGTCATTTCTCCATTATCTGCCCTGACCCATCTGCAAAAACCTAAGGCGGGCACGTGGTCTGCTGCTGCTCTTTGGTCAGCCTCAGCCTCCGGCGCACCCTCCTGCTCCTCCTCCTCCTCCGGCGCCGACTCTTTGGGCGCTGGCTCTTTGGCCGGCGGCACCGCTGGCGCTGCTGGCGCCGCTGGCGCTGGCTCCGCAGGCGGCGTGCGGTCGGTTTTTGCGACCATGGGCTTGTCCTTGACTTTGAGGCTTACCCAACCTGGCAGGGACAATCCCGCATACGGGCGAAGTCTTGGAATGAGCTTCAACATGCTGAAACCGGAGTGTCGGATGCACAACCTTGCAATCTCCCCCACCCACGAGTTGTAGGCTGCAAAGCCCATCTAGAACAGATTCCCTCCCAAACTTTTCGGTTTGCCTCCACGCGAGGCTGAATGTCGAGCCTTGCGTGGAGGCAGTCCGAAAAGTGCGACTCATTGTGAGTGATAGGAGCTCACTTGCAAAGTGTGCATACCCACTTGGCAGCTCGGAGTATTCCCAACCTTGCGAGTCAAGCCAACGTCCCCCACCTGTCAGAGGCCCTGAGCCACTGAGCCGCGTGTACCGCAGGCGCTCCCCCACCAGCTCCTCCTGGCGGATCAACGCGCCGGTGGAGAGCCGGGAGGTCTCCTCTGGAGAGGACAGCAGCTGCCCGGAGCGCACCAAGATGCCGCCCTTGTCCACACCCCCCACCACCTCCCAAAGCTGCGCCATGGCTTTGAGGCAAAACTGCCAAAACTGGCGGGGCGCCAATTTGGGTCTTGGTTTGGAAGGCACCCAATGCCGTGTGGCACAAATGAGGCGTGACCAGTCCGTAAGCACCTGCACATTGCCTGGGTAGAAATTCCTCGTTGAAATGGCCAAGTGGCCAAACCGCCTCGTACCAGGAAGGCACCTTTCGCCAGCAAAGCAATTCTAGTAAACGTTTTCTGAGCATTTGGCACCCTTCCTGTATGTTGCCATACCCCTGCAAGCTGTTGGGATAAAGCTGCGAAGGCTCAATTGGGTGGCGTCACGCCACAGGTTTGAGCGGCAGGTGGCAGCGACAGCGGCATGTGATCAACATAGATCATCGTATGAAAATGCGAAGTGGCTCTCAGCCGCATCACTCTTTCTTTTTTTTCGGCTTTCCAAGCGCTCCTAGGTCAGCGCCTTTTGTGATTTCTGGAACCTCCGCAATCTCGCCACGTGTTCAAGGCCAAGAAGGAGCTGAATCACCCCACCATGCGCACTTGTTCTCTTTCAGGCTTGCCACATGTCGCCCTGCTGGTGGTGCTGGCCGGACTTGCCGATGCAGATTGCCAATCTTCTTGGCTCAAAGGCGTGGCCGTGGCAGTGGCTGGCCATCGCCGAGGTAGGACTCGTCATCAAAGTCCCAGATGTCCGCCTGCGGTCCGCTCGCACAGGCACGGGACTCCTGAATGGTTCGTCGCAAAAAGCTGTCCTGAGCCAAGACTTCACGCCTGTCTCTGAAGAGCCACGGGTGCCATTCAATTGTGATCATGTCCAACGTGTGCTTGCAAAGCTGGCCATTCTCAAGCAGCTCGAGCATGACATCGTACTCGCTACCCTCAATGTCCATCTTCATCAGCCGCGTGCCACTAGGCGCCGTAGCATTTAGCTGCTGAAGAAAGACCCCGAAGTCCCGGATCGGTACCAACACGGGAGGGGCGCCTTGCATCCAGTGCTGGCGGCCTCGCTCCCGGTTGTGCTTGTGCCGACTGAACCCCCAGCCACTGTTCGAGCCGTTGAAGTCATTCTTGTAAAATACGGCCTTTCCTGTACGATTGGAGACTGCGACACGGTAGAAAATCACGTGCCAGCCCTTATCACGATAGGCCCGCTCGATGCTGCTGAAGGTGTCGCGCCACCTTGGATTGGCTTCAAATCCAATGGCGCAAAGCCCCGTCACCTTGGACGGCTGCTGCCGGAAGGTTGGAGGCCCGAAGAGTCGGTCGAAGATCTGCAGGTACTTGGCATCGGGATACTTCTCTGGCTCGAACAGCTTGCGAATGTGGGTGCCCCGATTTGCACCGAGGTCCAGAAAGATTTTGGTGCAGTTGCGGAACTCTCTCTCAAGTGTGTCCTCCTTGTGTGAAGGCTGGGTACGCCAGAGCTGAACTTTCAGGAAGCAGATGAGTACTGTGACAACCATGGTCCCAGCGGTCAGCACAACGTTGGTCCCAGCCATAGCCACGCCAGTTCGTTGTGGCGACTGCGCATGCCTGCTGCTCCACAGCAGGTGTTGAGGTGGCGTTTGGTAAGGGAAATCAGTATACACAACTTGAGCAGGAGAAGGTGGACGAATGCCAGCAAACAGTAAAAGCCAATGAGGCAGTCAGTCAGAGACTTTTTGGGGCCAAAGCGAGCCTACAAAGGCGCGCTTAGGTTGATTCTACGAATCAGTCCCCACCCCCCCTAGTTCGGATAAAATCAACAAGTCAAGATTTCCCCCCCATGCACTTGCTTACGCGTGGAGCAATGAACTGTCGGAAGGAAGCTGCACTTGAATTTGCGTCGGACCCTGAAAATCACATCAAACACCACTCTGGTGACCGGCCTTGACTCCAGCACCACACCTCGCGCTGCCAAATCCTGCTTTTGGGCGGCCCTGTCCAGCTCAGACCCTGCTCACCTCCTCGCCTCGCGGCAGACACGCAGAATCCTTTTCAGATGATGGCAATAGAAATTGGCTCACCACTAACTGTGTGTTTGCCCTTGGTTGGTGCAGTTGAATTATTTGCTACTACTGGTTTTGCTCGAGTTGCTTGAGAGAGGAGGGCATGAGCCAACATTTGGAAGGGGGGGGTGTGGCTCTGCTCACTATCTGCGCATCCAGTCAAAGTGCTCCGAGCCCCGAGCGGCTGCCAGCACTCCGGCCGCTTTGGCCTCACGGATGGGCTCTCCCGACCGGCAAGATCGTAGGACTCCGAATGCCCATGCCATATGCTGCACCAAGGGTGAATCGATTTTGTTGACACTGGCATACTTCTAGATTGAGCTCCGGTTGCCCGCCATTCGCACTAATAGAGCCGAAGATTGCCAGGACAACGCCCACCACACCAACCACCACACCACCCACCACACCACCCAACCACCAACCATCCCTACAATAGTCCCAATAAGCAAAGAACAGAAAGATGACATCGCCCCGATCCGCTGCGCAGCTTGGCACCCAGCTGTGACTGCTCCGACTCCCGCAGCTCTGGCTGCGGAGCGCCACGCTCCTGACTCCAAACAACGACAGCCCCGAGCTTTCCGCCCTTGGGGGAAGACAGTACGAGGACGCCTCGAAAAACAATCGACACGAAATGACGTTTGCTGGACAACCTGGAGAGAAGAGGCTCATTTTGTCTGAGTGTAGAAACGGCGGCCAGAACCACGCACCACTGACCCGCCCAATACGAACCGACCGGGCCTCCCAAAGAGCCCAACCTATCTCTGCACACCTTTGCACAAAAAAGCAATAGAGCAAGAAGTCTTGAACCACAAACGGCCAGAAGACAGCTCACCCTTTCAGATCCCACACAGCCCTACCCAACCAACCTTCATGCATGAATGCAAAACAAACCACAGAACAAAAAGAAACCAAACAAAACTGACAAACACAAACCAAACAAAACAAAAACAAAAACAACAAACAAACAAACAAACAAACAAACAACCAACCCAACCAAACAAACAAACCCAACAAGCCAAAACACAAAAACGGAACAAACACAAACGAAGAAACAAACAATGGACCCCGTCAAATACAAACTGCAAGCCACTCTTAGCAGGCTCGGTCCTGCGGCCCGGCAAGCCCGGCCTGCTCCCTGAGCGGGGCCTGGGCCGGGGCCGCCAGTGCAAAGATTCGAGACAACGGACCTGACCCGTCCCACCTGGGGGCTGAGTAGAGTGCACAAGGAACCCCAACAAGGATCCGGATTGACCAAGCGACCGTTTGAACAGGCCATCCTTTTCAGCCGATAAGGACAATAGAGCCCTGCTGAGGTAATCTATTAGAACAGGCAGTGGCAATTGCTGCCAACTTCCTAGCGACATGATAAGCAAGAAGTGAGGCGTGCAGCGAAGTGAAGCAAGCTGGACCAAGCGTGTTGCGCGCAGGACATTGGAGTCATGCTTCCAATCTTTGCCTAGTTTTCCCGGGGGCTATAGTGAGAGGGGGGCTATCCCTTACTAACCCCTTCATAAGGGCTTATCCTTGGCTTATCCTAGGCTTTTCCAGGGAGAGCCTCCCATAGCAGGGGCCCATGGAAAAGAAGGCTTTCTAGGAAGACTTGTGCAAAGGTTGCGGTATTTTGGCATTGCCTCGTGGGCTGGGCCGCCAAGGCCCAGCAAATGACCACGGTGACGTCCAGGGAGCAGTGCATGAGCCATGCTAGTGCTGGGAATCAGCACAGTGCGCGCTAAATTGGGCAAGCATCGGGAAGCTGAGGGATCAAGTCAATCCCAAATAATCACATCTCCTCAAAAAATGCACGAACATTTCGACCTTTGCTTGTCGGGCCAGGAGGGGGCTGAGGCCTCTGCAGCATGGGCTGGTCATCCAGGCAGCTCAGCTCGCTGTCCATTGCCTGCAGCACACCGCTGGTTCACCGGTGAAATGGCAAGCCCTGGCCGTCTCAGAGAGGGCCCCCTCTGCGCTATGGCCGGGGCATCACGAGGATAATTCATATGAGAACTTGAGGCACGTGACTTTGGCCAGAAATGCGGGCACACCCTGGGAGTGGAGAGAACCCAAACCATTTGGATCCAATCTGGAGAGTACGCCGAAGCCGCGCGCCCTCAAGGCCCTTGGCGCGTGCCATACATCGAACCGCCAAGAGGAACCCCGCGCGGCGAAAACCACAGGCGGCGGCCTCCCACTTGTCCTTCTTTGCGCCTGCGGGCCGCACAAGCCCTACTGCAAAACAAATATTATACGTAACGAGAGTAGGGGGGTTTGGGTTGCGTAACGCCTAGAAGCCTAGAAGCCTAGAAGGCTAATACTGGCATCACGATCAGAAGCTATGTATGCTCACTACACGCATGCTTTTGCTATCAGATAACACCCCTGGATGCCACATGGCCCCCAGCAAGTGAAAGCCTACAAGCAAAGGAGACCATTCTTCAGCCAGGGTGAGCCAAGCAAACAGGTTGAAACAGTACAGCATGTCGGGCGCATGTAGCATGCCCAACTTCAACATGCAAGGCCTGGCTTGTGCCCTGCCAGCGGCCGCAGCTCTTTGCCTCAGTGCGCAAGACGGCTCTACCCACTGCGAAGTCGACCCAAGTGCACGCAATGAAGCCAAATTTACAAGCTCCCCTCACCGGTTGCTGGGCGGTTTGTGCCAATCTTCAGAGGGCATCAGAGGGCTGCATCCATCCCAACTGGTGCAGAGTTTTTGTCCATCACATTGACAAGTAGGCCCGCGGCTGCGGCTGGCCGAGCTGCTGGACGTGCTGCTGGAGGTCTCCGTGTCAGAGGCCTCGCAGCAAGGCTTTCCCGCAAACCGGCGCTGCTCCCCGCCTGCAAGGCCAAAGGAAGGAGAACTCGTTGCACGAAACAAATGCCAAACACAGGGCCCCGAAAAGCGAGACCCCTGTTTGGCGCCAGCTTCGGGGGAATAAGTGTCGCCCAGGCGTCACATTTGGGGGGGAAAAGTGTTGACGTTTACGCCCAGGCGGCGTCACGCCTGCGGGACTTCTTTAGAAAGGTGCTTGAATGCGGGTTGACGTGCAAGAAAGTAAGCACATTGCACTGAGTGTGTGGAAACCAGAAGTGACGGATATGCGTCTATGCATTCTTCAAAAAGTCCCCGTCACACGCCGCCGAAGAACCACTCACAGATCTAAGTATGCATTCGGATCATTAGATAGACTGCGTTTGTTTCTCATTTTCTCGTCACTCCAGCGCATTCAGCCCCTGGAGCACGCTCAGCCTGCCTGTGCTTCAAAGGCCCGCCCCAAGACGCTGGGCGCCAGCGCCGGCCTGCCACCCGCTGCAAGCGCGATCAACCAGACCTCAACACGCCCGTACAACCTGGCCATCTCCCCAACCAGCCCCCGCAATTCAACTAAACCAAAAGCAAATGCGAACATGGCGTTGTCCACCAAGTGTTGAAGACCGACTCAACCTTTCGGGTCGGGTGCAACCGACAAAGTGCCAAGTGTGCTTTGGCAGCTCCATCTTGAAAATCACACAATTGACCTGCTTCAAAAGCAACTAACAACCTTCGGGCAGAGCGGAAGCTTCCTAAAGGTCCGCCGCATGCTATGAGCTTTGGACAACTCAATCAAGCTTTACTCTGACCAGTCCCCACACAAACCCAGAAACACTCGCAAGGTCCTCGCGCGCGAGGACCTGTCTAACGTTCATCCCGTGCCTCGGTGACGTCGGTGGGGTCAGGGCCGCGGCCTGGCATGGGGAAAGCAAGGGCTTTGAGCATGGGGCAGGGTAGCGGTGCTTGGCACAAAGGGATTTCCTCGGTGAAAAGGGCGGGTACCGACATTGCCTAAGGGCTGTCAAGCTTGCTGATGTCAGATCTGGAAGCCGGAGGTAACGGGGTGGATATAGTCTTTCGTGCTGTCATGACTATCACCTGCATAAGGCCCCAAAGCAAGGCAAGGTCCTTGAATCCAATTCTCTGGAGGAATGTCTGACAAGAACTGTGCTCGCACCATGCTCTCAGCGATATGGCAACGCATGGTGGGTGTGGCAAGCCTGTTGACTCAAGTTCATGACCCCGCCCGCTTGAGGGAAGAGAACTTGCCCAGCAATTGCTTGCAAGGGATGCCCGCTTCATAAGGAGTCGTCTCCAACCTGAGCACCCCGAGAGAGCCGCATCGTCTTTTTGCAGTCAGCTGTACTTGGTCTCTCCACGCAGCCAGCGGCCGATGCGCTGTGTTTGACCCGAAGACCTCAGACCGTCAAGCTACCGAAAGGAGGCAACCTTCGGCTTGACAACTGGAACATTCGATATTGCGATTCTTTGTTTGAATCAAACAGTCCGACTCCCCTTGTCCGCTCCAGTTGCGAGATGGGGAACAACCCGGTAAGCTGCCCATGAGCCTACCACTCCGTTTTCTGCAGACCGCCAGGTTTGGAAGGAACTCCTACACACACAAAAGATGTGCCGGGACGAGCACGCTTGGCGGCCTAGGCACCGCTGCGAGCCCAGCTGCCGCAGCCAATCTCGGAAGCCGCCGGGTGCTTGGCCCACCGCATACCCGCAGTAGCTACCAATCAGCGCGCCCGCCAAATGCGACAAATGCGAGACGCCGTCCTCAAACTCTGCTGGGGAGACATGCCTCTTGCGGAAACCGTTGAACCTTTCGGGGCAGACGTGAAAGGGAAACCCCAGCGTCAGAACACCCGGGTGATGATAGTGTGATATTTGCCGTGCCTGATGTTGCCAAGCGCGGAGTCCGCGGAGTCACCCCTCAACCCGTTAAACCATCTGCTCTGCACACCTCTTGCGTGACCCCTGCTTCATTCCGGGAAACTATGGAGCAGTGAGGCATACCAAAATAGCAAATGCCCCGGGTCAAGCGACATGTCTTCCACGGAGGAAGGGCACAACCTCCGCAGCGACCCAGAGAGACGCAGTCAGCAGGGCGGTAGCGGGCACCATGTTCCGGCCGCAGCCCGCGAAGCCTTGCCAGGGGAAGCCTTTGCGCTGTCCCAGCCTTGAATTGCTGGAAGCATCGACACCAACAACATATCAAACCATCGCTTCGCGCGACTGCACTTGGGATGAGACGAAGCTGGCGGCACACTGATGCCTTCGGCCAGCAAAACAAGCTACTCCTCCTGGACTTCAGCTGGGCCGCCCCGAAACACATTGGCTTGGCAGTTTGGTGGGCTGCTTGGCTCAACTGATCCTGGCAACTCGTCCCTTCCCGACGCCCGGTTCCCAATCCCGGCCGTTCAGCATCACAAGTGCGAAGTCGCACCCAGAGAGTCCGAAAACCTGCGAGTTCGCAGGCCCCAGCAGCCAGTGGCACGCTGCAATGGCCACACTGCAGCACAAAAGCACCTACCAGCGGTCAAGGTGGGTAAGGGTATTAGAAAAGGAAACACGCTTGGGCAAAAACCTGATTGGGTAAGAGGGACATGCCAATACTGCTGGCAGGGGGGTCATCTACGCACGTGAAAGCCGGTCATCTGCGCACGTGATCAAAAACGGGACATGTTGCGTTCTCCGCACGTGTTTTCCGGTCATCCGCGCACGGTACCCGGTCATCCGCGCACGTAGGTAGGGGGGGGGGGGGGGAAGCTTCGACGTTCACGCGCGCCAAAGCAGCCAGGGGGGGGGGGGGGGGTGGTAAGCTTTGACGCTCACGCGAACCAACTCACGCGGGTGGGGAGATTGGGAAGATTCGATGTTCACGCGCACCAACTCACGCGGGTGGGTGGGGGAGGGGGGTTGGTAAGCTTCGACGTTCACGCGAGCCAACTCACGCGGGTGGGTGGGGGGGGGGGGTGTAAGCTTCGACGTTCACGCGAACCACAACTCACGCGGCTGGGTGGCAGTATGGAGTCACCGCACCCACGTTTCGAAGCAAGCATCATGATCAACAACAGGGTTGGCATCAGCTGCACAACCATCAGCATCATGCAACTATCTAGCCTATCCTCTACCCATTGTTGCTTCACGTTGGCTTCAGCGCCTTCGCACAAGAAAATACATAAACTGCCGATGTCAGCCTTTAGCACTGCTGCGCGGGAACTGTTGCAAGCCGTTTGAAATGAACAAGTCTTGCCTACAGTCCCCAGTGACCTTAGCTCTTCCCCCATGCCCCCCGAGCCAAACATCCAGAACCTCAACCCGCCGGCCTTCAGCACCGCTTCGGACCCGTAGTGGCGCTCGCAGGGCGGGCCCACCAAGGAGAAGAGCATGAGGTTGTGCTGCAGGTGGTCCCAGCCGCCATGGCCCAAGGGGTGCGCCAGCACGCGCAAAGCCAGCACAGGGCTCAGGGTGGCTCTGCTGAAGGAGGGCCAAGAGAAGTATCTCCTGGGATGACCCGCAAAGAAAGGGTGCAAGCATCCTGACATAAGTAGATGGACAGTTAGGAAGGCAAATGAGAGGAGATTTGGACAAGCAAAATGGCAACATTGTGATGCAACGGCAAGGCAGGCAGGCAAGCAGACACATAGACATAGCAATCAAACTGGTAGATATGTAGACTGACAAAATCATTGCTAGATGGGTAGGTAGAAAGGCCAATAGAATAGACAGGCTAGACAGGTCAAACATTGAAAAGTGTTGGATTTAGCTTCGGTCGCTTGGATGGGACAGAACAGGATGGGACTCATGACACATGGTATGACAGAAAGGGACAAGTCGAAACTATGCAGGGGCTTCATGGTCGTTTCCACAAATATTGAAATGCCAAAGCACTAGGTTTGAAAGCTTGTCCTCTCAGCAAAGTCGCAACGCATCCGGGTGCATAACGGTGAGGCAGTGAACCAAGCAGCACGCCAATGCCGTGCCCAGTACCACCGGGCTGTCCAATCGAATGTAAAGTCCGCTCATGGCGCGCTTTCTGGCCAATCCCAATCCGACAGCAAACGCTTGCCAAAAAGTCTGCCAAACACTGAGCCGACGATATCTTGCCACAATGGAGGGCCCTGACTCAACGGCAAGACAACCTAGAAACCGGGCGCAGGCTGTCGCCCAACCCTGTCTAGACCAGTTCCCGGAAATCTGCGAGGCCTCCCCTTGCATGAGCCCTTTCCTGAAAGAAGAGTCCCAAATCTTTCCCGAATTTCAAGTGCGCATCTTTGAGTGCAGGGTCGCTTCACACACTTTTGTCGCTGCAGGTTTGCCCAGCACTCGGCACTTTTTCCGCGCGACCTGGGCTTCGGCCGCGCGAAAACGGTGGAACTTTCGACCACCTCAGTGGCAGCCTCCGCCGGCTGAGGCCGCGAGCGGCTCAAGTCGCTAACCTGGCCGCAGGGTGTTTGACTTCACATGGCTGTGGGTCAAAATCAAAACCAGCATAGGACCACAGGGTTAATCCATGTTTCCATTTACAAGGGTTCCCATTTTGGGTACATTTTTTGACCCACACCCACATGGAAAGCCCATGATTGCTCAGCGACGAGCTTGTAAGCTCACCAAAATCTTCAGACTCTAGCACGATTGTTGCAGAAACTGTTGTGCAGGCTGGCCTGTGCATGGTGAAACATGGGCACAGTAAAACAGGGCGATGTGCAACCTGAATAGACCATCAGTGTCCAAACAACCTACTGTAAAGTCAAGTGCGGGTCACAAAGCATGAGGCAGGAATTGGCAAACTCCCAGCTCGACAACATCAAGGTCAAGCAAAGGTATGCGAAAGAACGACCAAAAGGGGCCACAACCTTGGAATTTCATGCACGCCCTGCCTAGACGAGCTGTTCCAGCCAGCAACCAAATCAAACACGTTCCCTCAAGCTCCCCAGCCCCATCCCCCCTGCCCACTTGCCCAACCCCCGTCACCCGTCACCTGAACTCTGCTCCCAGCGGCTCGGGGACCTCTGCGCAGCCTCGTAGAGCTCCGGGATAAACCCGGGCCGCTCCGTGCGCATGCGCGGCGCCACCGTGCGCTCCAGCTGGATCTGGGCATAGGCGCGCAGGGCCGTGGCCACCACGTCCCAGGCCTCTGGGATCAGCAGTTTTACCCACGCCCACTGCCTGCAAGCGGAAAATCCCCAAAAAAAATGCGCAAAAAAGTGCCGGACTGACAGTTGCGGTGGCAACGTTTGGCGCTTCTAGCGATCGGAAATCAACCATCAACACGACAATCACGAGCGAGTTCGCAAAAAAAAAGCAGAACAAAGCCAACGAGAGAACAAAAGAAGCATGCCCCGTAAGAATAGTGCCAGTCAGGCCCCCCTCGGCCTTCCGCTCCCCGCCGCGCAGGCTGGACACCTCATCCACTGCAAGGGCAGCCGCTTCTGCAGTGCTGTACCCCCAGCGCTCCTCCTTGCAGGTGAGACAGGTATGGATTCTGCTGTTGTCTCTGGCTAGAATGGACGTTCAGATTCTGAAAAGCCAAAGGGGGAGGGGCACAAGCGGCAGCTTCCGGAAAGTGGCAACTTCCCAGGACGTTCAGGGGTGTCCTCTTCTTTGAGGGTACCCTACATACCTTGGTTCTTCGCAAAACCCAAAAGGAAGCCACCAAATTTGGACCCCATGGCATGTTGACCACCTGGGCTGCCCCACCTCCGCCTCCTCCGCCAGGCGCAAGGGCTTCCGCACCACGAAGACGGGCCGCGTGTTCGGGGGCGGCGTCAGCTCCACTTGTCGGATGGCCCCCAGCGGGTCCTACAAGTTTCAGCTTCTGCTCTCCCTGAATGCTTGGGCTGGTGCTCAGTAGGGAATGAAGCAACGTCCCTTCAAGGAGGGGGTGGTTTTTGGGGTCGTTCCCTCATTCCCTGCTGAGCACGAGCAAGTGACTGCATGCAGTTGGCCCGCAACTGCGATTTCCGCGTTCGCACGGAGAGCTGCCCAGGTTGATTTACACAAGGCTGACAGCCGCCCATTTCATGTTCAGTGGAACCAAACCTGCTGGGGAAACAAATGCATCAACAACTGCATATGCTCACGTGCTGTTGCGGGTGCGCAGAAAAGCAGCCCGGGTCGCAACAACTGCGTTCCCATCCGGCCAAACACACAGAATAGTAAGCAGCTTGACAAAAGTGCAACCTCCCAGAGAAACCCGAGATCGTGTTTGCAGAGTGCAGGTCCGTTCTAAGAAGGGGACGTCTACCTATCCGGCCATTTGAGGGTTCTACAAAGTTTGGCCAAGAATTCCAAGTCGGCCCCTGACAGCCCCTGCATCCTCATCCCTGCTAGCAGCCATCTCCCGCGCGTAGCGCCAGGTGGCGTCCATAAAGATGAGGTGCCGTACCTGCACCCACACATCCCGAGTTATTTTGACTGAAGGAGCGCAAGCACCGACCACCCGACCGCTCGGAACCTGATAGATCTGATAGGGGGCCCTGGATTTCTCTGAAACGTCGCGCCTTGGAATCCAAGACTTCCTGCAGCGGCCGGGCGTTGGGCCCCGGGAAGACAAGGAGACAGCTGGCAGGCTGCTGCCAGATGTGCTCCAGGCCCGCCACCGGCTCTACAGGCAGCCTGTCAGCCCGAAAGAGGCTGGATGCGGGTGGTGTTTGGCCCTGGGCGCGCTCGTAGGCTGATAAGCTTGCGAGGGAATGAATGAGTTGAATTTGAGCGGCATGATTCTCTCGAAGAAGCTGGCTATCAGCTGGGGACATGTCAACCGCCGAATTGTTTGCGTGCCTTAAAGAATGAGCCACAGTCTCAAGAAGCCGCGGTGTGAAGAAAATTGCAAAAGGCAAGAAAAGTGCGGGATGCCAACTTCAAACACAAACTCTGCTAGTCACTGGCAGCAAATGGCAGCTACCTCCATCTTTTGAGAGATCGAGAAGCTCTCAGCTTACCAAAGGTCGGGACCATCCACTGTGACAAATGGAATAAGAATGCGTCAAGAGCGCTGACTGGTCTGGCATCGCTGGGCTGCGATTTGCTTGCTAAGCTGTCTCAACACTTGCCAATTCCCCTTGATCCAAAGCCATCGCGATGGAAGCTGAAATGAACACTGTCACATGTAACATGTGCATACCTTGGGTCTTTCTTCCTTGTCCTGGCTGATTGGGTACGCAATTGATGGTTTAGCTCCCAGTGGTCATTGCATTCCGCGCCACCTCCGCCTACCCTTTTTTTACATCTTGTTGATGCGAGTGGCAACTTTAAAGTCACTAGTACTTGCTTCATGCGCCCCCAGCCTGCGGCAGGCATACTGCCGCACACCGCTCAAACACCGCCTCAGGCGATTGAAGAGATCAAAATGCATCAGCAAAGGCTTTTTTGTTGCAGTCAGATGGTTTTGAAAACGCAAAAAGAAATCAGAACAAGGCGTGGACAGGGCGTGGCCGCCCTATCTGGGACTTCATCGGTTTGTCCGACATGATCGATCCCGACTGGTTGGGAAACGGCTGTGGGTCAAAACCCTGTACCCCTGGTGAACATCAAAATAGGTCGCAAATGGATCTTCATCCTCCCCAAAATGGAGCCATAATTTATCCCCCATGGCCAAACTGGAAACCTTGGGAGTCTAGAGATTCCAGAGGTCCCCTGCGGGAAGCTCTCACCAAGGCGCTCCAGGATCCAAGCACTCTGGTGCTTCTGACGCCGCTCCTTTGGATGGCGCAAAAGCCTGGCGTGCGGTCACATGGTCGCCGATGGTGCATTCGAGCCCATGCCACCAGAGTCAGTCAAACTAAAACCTGCAAGCTTCCCTTGCAAAACTTCACAGGAGACCCCCTGGCTTCCACTTCCGCAGTGGTTCTTCGCAGAATTTTGAAGAACTTGTTCATCTGCCAGGGCCATGATCAAACAAGCTTCATGGAAGACCCACAGGCAGGAGTGGGCCAACTCAAAGCTCAATGACTACCAAACCAAAGGACTTGCAGGCTCAGCCATTTCAAAAGAAACAGCTCGCAGTGCGCTAACTCGAAGTCCGAACGCACAATGACCCCTAGAGACATGCAACGCCCCATCCCGCAAAGCTTGCCAACAGGCAAGGGGCAGGATGCTGTCCAGGCCCTCCGGCAGTGGCAAAGGCGCGCTCGGCAGGCTGGCGCAAATGCAGGCGCTCGCCGGGCGATTGCAGCCATCGCACATGGCGCGGCCCTCACGGATCACGTCTTCTGCCGGCTCCTTCACAGTTTGGTGCCCACCACCCACCCACTAGGATATTCTTTTGAATGTGCTCCAAACTGTCCTCAGTGGCGCAAGCAAGGCAAGCTTGGGATCGGTGGGCTTTGGGAGCTACTTAGGCCGAGTCATGCAACACACCAGGTCAGGCCAAATAACATTGGAACCCGGGATTTACAAGGCCCCAAACCGTGGCTTTTCTTTTAAGGCACATGGACTCACAGCGCCAGAGGGCGGTGGCACGCGCGCGCGCGGAGAGACGTGTCCTGGTCCGTGTCGCCTTCCCGACGGCCACATCCGCTCTCCGTCATCTCGCGACATAGATTCTGGCCTCGCGGGCACCTGCGGGCGAAAGACTTCGGTCAAGGGGATTCTGGGCACAGTGGTAACCTAATGTAACCTAAACCTCAACCTGCTACAGCCACGGGCACCTGGAGAATCGAGCTGGTCCATTCAAGTGCCACTCGGGCAGTTGATATGAAAAGGACACCTGGCCTGCAAAGTAACTTTGGAGAACATCCTAAAAAAAAAGAGGTATCACTTAGGAGAATAAGCTGCTCTCGACTTCTAGATTCTAGAGGCACCTTATCATCATAGCAAGGCCCCCTAACAAACCCCCTAGATGTTGAAACACACTGCGCCCAACAAAGAACAGCCTTGCCAATAGGTCCAATGGGTCGAGATACCGCGCACCATGGCGGCAGCGCGGAACCCTCAGCCACAAAGCTGCGGCGTGCCACGCGAGGAGCATCACTTGCTCTTTACCTTAAACAGCGCCTTGGGCAGAGGTCACAAGCTGTTATCCATGTTCACGCCCATTGGCTTGCGGCATTTCTAGTGTGCAGAGGTCAACTGTTATCCATCTTTAACTCCATGGGCTGCGGCATTTCTGGTGCGCGGCTGCGTCCCTTTGAAATTTGCCGAGCAACTTGTCCAGCCCCGCTGCAAAGTGGGGACAGTGAGCTTGGCCGAGACACATCTGCATTGGACAAACAAGAGGCAGGTGACCTCTCTGCAAAGCCCACGCCCCCCTGGCACCCGATTCCAGCCTCAAGAGCTTCCGGCGCCTTCCCCCCGAGGGAAGGACCAACGCCGCGCGCAAAGGGCGCAAGGCAGTTGAGCAGAGGCCCAGTCGACCAGGACACCAAGACACAACTGACTTCCTGAACTGGTAAGCAGAACGCCAGACGCTTCCTAGCACTTTTTTGGTTGCACAGCACCGCAGGCGTCATGTGGGCTGCTCCCGGTGGTTTGCTTGAGAAGTTTGATGGCTCACACCAACTTTGGGATACCCACCCCGAAAGTGCCCAAGGTAGAACCTGAGTCGGTGACTCAAAAACCCGAGCTTGAATGGATGCTCCCTGGGCAAGCGACGGGGAGAAGAGCAGTGGTGCTTCTGCAAGTTCCGGGCCTGGCTAGCGCAGCCCGCTGTTGCCCGTGGTTCTTGCTGGAAGCAACATTGCGGCGGGAAGTCCCCGGTAGTGGCGCGCCCAAAAAGAACTAAGGCAGTCGCGTGACGTCTTCCTCACGAGGCTCCCGCAGCACCTGCGACTGGCCGATCGGCTGATGCTCAGGACTCATTTTTTGTCGAGCGTGTCATCCGAGAGGATGTCCGATCTTCGACCCTTCAGGCAGAAGGATGCCGGCGCATGACTTCTAAAGAATACTGTTCAATGAGCATTCTGCCCAGGAATGGATGCAAAATACAGGATGAATTATTGCCCCTGCCGAGCACGTGTAGGGGAAAGCCATCGTTGGGCTTAAGCTTGGGACACGTAGTGTGCCATCAAAACATGCCTGTCCACACAAATTTATTGGAAGGACAAAGCCTGTAGAACTAATGCTGAGGGAGTAGCTCAGGAATACGACTGAGCCATCTCGCTCGCAGCGTTCCCCTTGAACAAAAAACTGGACACTGAGGGATCCTGCTCAGCCTGACACTATGCTAGAAAGCGTGCCAACTGATCCAACGTCTCCAGCTCATCCAGTGGGCAGTGGCCCAGAAAAGTGCTGACCCCCAAGGCCTTTGCAGCATGAGTGAATTCTTCTCGCAGCCAGTGCACTGTAGGTCGGTCTTCAAAATTGATGCGACCCAGCCCGGACATATGCTTCCTGTGAAGGAGAGTCCTCCAACTGTCGTTTTTCCAAGCAACCAGTGGCGAACTCATCAATCGAAAGAACACCGCAACAATTGTTGAAAGTCCAGGAAGTGGACTGCCTTCAAATAAATAGCGCTGCAGCTTCGTCCATGCGTCCTTGCTGACTTCTCTATCCTCGCATGAGAACTGGTCGTCTTCGATCCAACGTTCAGCCCTGGATGAAAGCAGGGCAGAATCGACAACTTGGTCCGGGAAGGCCACAAAGCAGTGCACCGACCGCTCTTCCACCACCTCCGTCAGCTCGTAGAAAGCTTGAAATGTCAGCCTCACGTTCCCTCGCCGCGTCTTGATGGAAACTGTTGTGGAATACTTTTGGCAGATGCAGTTGTCCTCCTGTTTCGTGCTTGAAGCAAGCACATCGTAGTAGGACACATCCTCCCATTCTGCATGCCGTGGCAAGCAGGCAATGAAGTCGTCCAACTCCTTCTCCTCCGCATTGGTGCAAGAGAACCGTGTTTGATGCAAATTCGCGCAGGTCATCATTCTGGCCAGATCGCTTTCCAGCTTCATGAAGCGTTGGATCAAAAGCTGCGGGCCTCTCTCGGTGGGGGACTGAAGTGAAAGCGTCTGCACCACAGGTGTTCGGGAAAGCCGGGACCACTGCACCAGCTGTGAGGCAAGAAAGCTGGACATCAAAGGTCCATCCGATCCAGCTGTTGCCAAGTAGGTGCCCATGGCTTCGCGAAAGAGGAGCTTGGTGCTGAAAGATTCTGATCCGCCACAAACTATTTGGTTGATGAAGCGGCAGGTACTTCTCGAAGCAAAAATGTTCCTCAGATCCAAGATTGCCAGGGCACTGGCGACATGCGACTCATGGAGTCCCTGCAAACTTACTGAGGCAGAGCGGGACATAACTGTACAGTCTCAGGGTTGCCCTGAGCCAAAATTGTGCTTGAGCCAGCTCTGCTGAAAAGAAACCCAAAGCTAGACACAACATCTTCTCTTGATAGACTGGCTGGAAATTGCACTGCAAAAACCAGGTCCATTGTGCCCCAAAAAATACAAGAGGGAAACTTAAACCAATGCCAAAGGGCAACAAGGCGCGCCCGGCCCACCTCAGGGCGCACGCGGGGCAACCTCGGCGACCGGCCGAATGTCGAAAAAGGTGGGAACATGAAGGTGATGGCCCCTGGCTAGTTAACTCCTGCAGGTAACCCTTAGTTGGTGCTTTGGATTGATGGCTCGGGGATTTCAACCCCCGGACCTGAGGGATGGGCAAACCACCCCGGAAAACCAACCCGGCATCCAAACCGCAAACCCTCGAGCCGGACATGCTCCCAACTCATGGCCCGCCCGAGCCGCCGGCAGAATCGACGCTCGCTTCCCTTTCCCGGGGCCTCCAGCTTCACGCCTGAGCCGGCAGACCAAAAAGGGTTCGATCGACAGGAAGGTGAGGAAAAGGAGTGGCTGGGCGGTCGGATGCTGCATCCCGCAAAAGCGAGCGAATCAGCCAAACAGCCAAACCATTGATTCAATTGATGCTTGACAAGCCATACTTGCCATCCGCTCTTTGGGGAGCGACCCGACCAAACCACCATCCAGCAGACCTCTGGAAGTGCAGCAGCCCACACTCGCAAGTTCGCGGCACCGCCCAAGTCTGCACTGCGACCTTGCCTCTTCGACATTCCAGAATCGCTCATGCAACATAGATGCTCAACATAGATGCATGCCCACTAGCTGACCAGCTTCTGGTACGCACGTGCGAACGCCGCAAAGAATGCGGGCTCATCCGTTGCAAACCTCTCCACTTCCTTGTGCAAGCCAGGGTCGAAGGTGAGGCCAATGTCAGAAGGCAGCAGGAACTGAGTCGGTGTCTTTTCGCTGTCGGCTCGATCCTTGAACTTCTTCTTCGGCCTAGGAAGTTTCTGGCGCTCTTCCCAGGCCAGCACCTCCTTGAAGTACTCGTTGTTGAACTTAGCAGGGTGCGATGTGAAGGGCAAGCGCCGCCCCTGTTCCCGCGTGCACTCCCAGAACTCGCGGCCATCCTTGGCCATGCACTCCCCCGTCACGTCGAACAGCGACGTCCAACGGCCTACCGTGTGCGCGCCCACCAGCGCAACCAGCTCCGCATCTGACAGGCCCAGCTGCCTAAAGTAATCCCGGATGGCGCCAGCTGTAAGTGCGGCATCTGGCAGTCGCCCTTCTGCATCCGCCACGTCAACATCTTTTCCTCACGTGCTACGAAATCTGCGTTGCTAATTATTTTGAGCGCAAATTCCATTTGAAGGATCCCTGGAACTAAAATCAGGGATGCCAAGTCAACAGGTAAGCGTCTACCAGTGTCTACCGGGATGACGGGGCCTCCCAGCGCTTCCACTGCCGCAGCTCCGCCGACAGCAATTGCGTCGGCCCAGCTGACCTGGCAACTGTCCACAATGGTGGAGACCTGCTGCAGCGCTGCTCTCAGGCTGGGGCCCACGTTCTCGTTTCGCGCCAGCTCAAAGCGTATGGAGCCGTTGGGCCCGTCGCGCCCTTTGCGCCAGGTTGCCGCGTCGTGGAACGCCAGGCGCAGCAAGGCTGGCGCCAGCTCTGGCCGCGCAGCCGCCAGCGCCAGCACCTTCTGCCGGACACATGGCGCAGCCGCCTTCAACTCCGCTGCGATGGCCGGTCGCGGGGCCGCGGCCTCGGGAATTGTGAGGCTGGCGCAAAGCCACTGCCGGCGGCTTGGGGCTGCAAACGAGTGATTGCCCTGCCACCGCACCAGGCAGAATGCTGCCAATGCCACACGCAGCATGGCACGGCGCGACATCATGCGCAACAGTATAATGCTTCGCTCTGGACTTTGTTTGCTTGCGCAGGTGCAGGACTCGTTGCACACCTGACATTATCTGCGTCCATTTTGTTTTGGCTTCTGCGTTTGCGATGCAGCTCCATGGCAAATGCAGCCGGATTACTCCTAATTAGTAGCCTAGCTGCAACCATCGTGTTGCCATATGAGGGACAAGCTTGCAGCTGCAACCATTGTGTTGCCATATCCTAGACAAGCTTGCAGCTTGAGCAATGAGTTTCACCGGGTGCCCAATGCTTCAGATTGAATTGCCAAGAACCAGAATGTGCCCAGCAATGTTGAACACCGGCCGGCGCCACACATGAGTGGCTGAAGGGGGGGGGGGATGGCTGGCGCTGGCGCTGATTGCCCTTTTCACGCCGCGTAAACAAGCCAAGCCAAATCGATGCAAAGGACCGCGTCAGCCCTTCAAGGCGGCGATAGGTGTTCGAAGCAGGTCTGTGGCAGAAACAAAAGACTTCAAGACGCACGGCATCGGCTTTCAAATGGATCAACTGCGCATGCTTGGACGGTAGGGATGAAATTGCGGTGCCGCGGTATGCAATTGCTTGCGTCTGTTGATAGAGTGCATCTCTCTCTCTCTCTCCCTCTCTCCTAAACGCTTGAAGTGGATGCCTGGAGCCCTGGCCAAGCATCTTCAGCCCGGCCGGAGCCGGCGGGTGCGGCTGAGAGCGCCACATCCGCCCAGGCACCGGAGCACGTGCATGTGCAGCCTCCCAGCCAAGAGAAACACAAACAAACCCCAGCCTCCCTGACTCCCTGAGCTTCCAACCCACGCTAGCTCACAGCACACTGGTGACACTGAACCGATGTGGCCGAAAGATCTTGCAACACACTTGCTTCAGAATTTGAATCTAGGCAAAGCCCATCGCCGCCTCCAGCCCCGCAGCCCGCAACTCCGCATCGTAATCGAACCCGGGCGCTGCTGGCGCTGGCATCTGGCGAGACGGGATCCTCTAAATCTAGGGCATGCCTCTGCAGGGTCTGATGCAGGAAATGTCAGCATTTCGAAAGCTGTGGAATAGCTGTCCTTCAAGCATTGAATTCATAGGGGGCATGTAGGAAAGCCCGCTTCGAGGGATAACAGACCCTGAGAAAGCATTGTCCTTCCCAACCCTTGGCTTCATGGAAGTGAGGAAGGCTGGGGTCTGAAAGCTGCAACCCGGGGAAAACCGGCAACAACAACAAAGCTGTTACAATCCTGGGCACTGCAAACGCTGGTGCCTTCTTTGAAAACATGCCCCGGAGGCAAAGACTCAAGCAGTTTGACAAAGAAGTCAGGGCATTCCAAACAAAGATTTGTTGGAAGCCACAGCTTGCTCCTATTTCCTCAGGCCACAAGAGAGCTCCACCCCTCCATCGGGCCTTGCTCTGGTGGCCAGATTTGGCCCTCACGCCTCAGTGCCAAAAAAGTGTCGCCTTTCGGCCCTTGAGGTTTGTGCCAATGGCTTAGGCGAAGTGATGCGACATTGGGAGGGGGACACTGGGAACAGAATGGCACTTGGCTGTGTCTCAAACTGGACCCCGTACATTGACGGGTTGCCTCTGGCTTCGCCAGGCAAAAACAAGAAGGGTTTGCCTTGCCCAGCAGCCCGGCATGGAAGCGATTCCATTCGCGGGGGCGGCTGTTTTGCTTTTCGCTTGCGATGCCAATTCGTCCGAGCTGGGCCCGGAGTGAAGCGGAGAGGCAGCTTTCAAGGCTTGCAAACCATGAGGTTCACTGCGCCAAGTTCTGTTGCACTGGTTCAACAAGGTCCCTCCTTGCTCGAACAGGCCCTCAAGAGCATGCCACTCCACCAAGCAATGACTTGACTGTGACAGGGCTGAGACACCCCCCCTCCCTCTCACCATTGAAACCCATCAAATCTGAAGGCAGCCATCCCATGTCCACTAGGTAGTGTTTGCCGCTGACAGTCACATCGTTTGAGGCCTAACGACGCTCTGTCGCTCAGCGCCTCAAAACTGAAGCGCTCAACTCCTCCGAAAACTACAAAAAGATACACGCTGCGGCACTGGGCTACTGCAGAGCACTTGTTGTTAGTCTGTTCGTTCTATCGGCTAAACATCAAGCAAAAAAACAAAGCCCGGCACCTCCAGCGGTTCCCAATCTGGTCAAGGCCCTGCACACATCTGCATACATGCAGCTGCGCCTGTGCTTCCTTTCCTCCTTGCCACATTGCGTGGCACTGTGCTCAGTACGACTCGGTCGCCAGCGAGATGTGTGCCAAATGCACGCAAAGCCTCGCAGGTCCGGCCGCAACGTTTCGCCACATGTTCAGCTGGCGTCCACCAGCCCTGTGACAAGTGACAGTCTTGCACCTAGCTCCCTTCATCCGACTTGCAAGACCACTTTCTGCGTGCCAGTGCGGCTTGGGGACAACTGGCACGTAAGGAATGCTGCCCAACAGTGTCCCACGGATTTCTGCGAACGGCGGATAGATCCAGGCCACGGGTATGGCTGAATGCTGGACAAAGCGCTTGCGACAACTCAAGCATTTCAGAATTGGAGCAGTTACTTGCGAATGCTTCGCACCCCCCTCTTCCCAAATTCCCAAAGGGTGCCGTGCAACATGTCCACCCTTGCAGCCGGCGCAGCTGATCGCCGCAACTCATCTTGAAGGGCTCCTGGCGATCTGCCGGCCTTCGGCTTTCCCGTTGTGCACCCCGGCTGCTACCGCGCAAACCCCGCCACCGCCACGATTGCATACAACTAGTACCATCGCTGCCACAAACCGTGACCGCCTCGAGACATCCCTTACTTCTTCCTCCACATCTGGCCATGGGTCAATACCCCGTACCCCCAGTGTGGTTTCGACCCACCGCCACATCTACTTCTGTGATTCCCCTGCTTGTGGCAGTTGCGATGCTTGCAGTAGCAGACGCAAATCGATGGCTCCTTCGGCAGCTTCATCAGCCTCGTACGGGCCGGGGCAGTCAACTGCAATAACTTCTCGAGTTTGTCGGGCGAAATCCTTAAGCAGGCTTAAGCTCAAATGCTCCAACTGCGGAACAAGGGCCAAGCCGAATGATGACGGGTTGCCTCCACCAACTGCATAACCACAGGCAAACCAAGTAAGAACTCTCTAGCCAACAACGGGATTGCACGCAAGAGTCGCACGTGTAGATGGTCAGAATGCTTTGGATCCAATGCTGGTCTTCTGTAGAACTTTCATTTACAGCCAGAGATGGAGCTGAAGCTGCAGAGTCTCGTTTATCAAATCGTGTTCCTGCAACTTTGGCTGTATATTATTAGCTCTTAATTGCTGGTTGTGCGCCGGCAGCTGCCGTAGAAATCCTGAAAAGAAATCCCGGCAACTGATTGACAAGGGCCCAAGTCACAGCGGTTGGGTGGTTGCTCGGCTTGCCATTAACTAGAAAGGAGCAGGGCTGGTGACGACATGGCGCTGTGACCCTGACGCCTGTGCCACCAATTCGCAGCGAGTGGCTGATCAAAGCTCTCGTCGGTGGCAAAAATGAAGGCCAGCACACGGTTCACATAGGTGACCGACTCGGCTGTCTCCCCTGGTTTCACCTTTGCTCTTGCCAGCCAGTCATTGCTTGGCCCCCGCCCCCGGTACCCAACAGGCTCGAAGCAGGTTCTGGCTGCATGCCACTTATTCTCAAGCAACAGGTCCATGTTCTGAATCCACCTCTATTCATGCCATTTCCCGATTTCCCGGGTAGGGCGGACATGAAGGCTCTTCAGCCAGGGGCACCATTCGAATTGCAGCTTGCAAATCCTCCTTGGTTACGTCGCCGTACCAGTAGACGCACCTCGGATCTCTGCAGCTTCGATTTGACTCAACCCCCCAGTTGAGACCGTTTTAGCGGGATGCAAATTGAAGCAAGCTCACAGGCCAGGAGAGAACCACGCAAAACAACCCAGTTTACTGGAATTTGGCTTGAGCACTTGAACGAGTGAGCTGACAACTGAATGAAGCACATCCAGGAAGCATGGAGCTAAGACCGGCACTTTTCGTCGGATCCTAGAATGGGGTCATCGTGCTTGTCGATGCCCTTGCAAACGGATGGCTCTTCAACATCTGTCAGCGCTGAAACTGACGTTGTTACCGGAAGCTGTTCCTGAAGCTTTCTGAACCTGTTGATCCCGCGTGGATCTCAATGCAACGATTCACACCTTCCGCATCCGACCTGAGGCTACGTAGGACATGTTAGCAAAGACCAGCAGCGGATTGACTTCTACTTTGGCGATGGGGTGGGATCTTCTTTTGTGGTTTTGGACCGGCAAGCTGATACAATTTGCAGGATGATGTATGTGTTCCGGGTTTAGCGCCTGTGGAGCATAAGTGGTTTGAGTGCCACAAGCCCTGGTGATGCAAGCATTGTCCTGCATCCACTAACACCGGCAGTGCCTTTGCCAGCTGGGTCAGAACGTCATCCAGCTGGTGCTGGCTTCCGAAGAAGTCATTCGCGCGCGGGTGAGCGTGCCTTGGGCGCTGATGAATCGGCCACGCAAACAACTCGGCGGACTGCAATCGGAACAGGAGGCAGCTAGTTGTGCTTCCATCGCTTGTATTGGACCGGGGTGTTTGGGGGCCTGCATGGCCAACACCAAAACTGCATCCGCTCTGGGACCGATGGATCACCGGCCTCCGCCACTCCTGGATAGCGAAGGCCACCTGGTCGTCGCCGCCATTTGCCAGCTGTCACCACATGACCGTGAAGCAACGGCTTGGCAAACGATACATCGATCAAAACCGATCTTAGCCGTGACCACACCACAAATCTCTTTGGAGTGATACTCCATCAGGGGTCTGGAGAGGTCCCGACCGAAGCACATGAACCACAGGCCTGGTCATCGCTCCGGCACTGAAAGTTGGCTTCGTTTCGGCTCGACAGTCTGCGCTTATCCTGCCATGCAGCAAGCTGACCTTCGGCCATTGCCTTTTGCAAACCTTCCGAAGCCCTGCGGTCCATTATTGACCCAAGCCCCGCCTTTGCGACCTTCTTCTTCTCCTTCTCCTGCCCCATGCCAAGCATTGCATATTTGCCACCCATCTAAAAGGAGAAAAGGCTCCTCGCGGAAAGCATCACAACAAATCGTCCAAGCTGAGCAACCATCGCCTTAGGCTTGTTGTCGCCGCCAAACATGGCATTGAAGGGATTCTCCGAGCACCTCGGGCACGAAGCCCCCGCCAGGTGTGGGTCATCGCTCCCCTTTGATTGACATGCTTTGCCGGTGAGCCGTTCCGGGCTTTGCCCATATGTAACTACACACATCATGCCGCGCCGCTGGAAGATTCTCCGCGCAAAGAAGTGCAAACACGTTACATGCCCTCAAAGCCCTCTACAGTCCGATGCTGGACAAACGCTACAAGAAGGCTGAGCGCCCCACATGCGGCATTGGAACATCCCTGCCTGACAGTGCCACAAGGCAAGTTGCAGTGGAGAGACTGCTTTGACTACCCAGGCCTGGTTGACTGAGCCCCCTGCAATCCAGAGCAGCGCAAACGGCGCCCGTCTTCAGCTTGACATGCCAAATGGCTGCTGAAGATTCGGCTCTATGTGCATATATATATATATATCATTGTGTATGTTGATTCCAAAAAAGTTTGCATGTCATGTCACTGATCTTCCCCTTCCTTCTGGGTGATAGATCGGATTTGCATGGTGCGGTCTGGTCAAAGTATGGAGCATCTCCAAAGTGGCTCGTTCCGGGCAAAAAGGGTAGCACAAGCGCGCGAACGAGGCTCAAATTGCCATATTCTTAGTGTGGGACCTTTGCTCGCAGGAACCTGGCAGGCCGGGGGCGGCTGCCAACAGAATTGCCACAGGTAACTCCAACTCACTTGGCATCAACCTCACCAGTGATCAACCCGATGCCTTGTGCTCGCGCGCGTGTGCTCGATGGCGGCTGGGGCCATGCCTGAGCCACGATCCCTTTCTTGGCAACTGGCCGGCCGAAATGGCAAGCACAAAAGGCTAAAAAGACCTGTCCTCAAACTTTCCGACATCGCTGTCACCAAAAGCCGTCCCAAAAAGCTTGCAGCCTCCACAGCCAGCCGAGCGCGCCACCAAGGCCTCCACGGCTGAATGCCTCAGGTTGCCACTCGTGGGCCGAGGTCTGTTCATGCTGGCCGCCTCATTCCAAAGCGAGAGTAAATCTTGCACGTCCGCATAGCCGATTTGCGTGCCAAAGCGGTTCAACCACAAGAAATCGAAACCACTTCATGCCTTCAAAAGAAAACAAAAGGCGGGCGTGGAAATCTCCGCTGCCATGCAAAAGGGCGTGCAAGCCTCAAAACGTGAAGTTAGAGCTAAGGCTGCGTCTGGATGAAGCATTCACCGGAAGCCATCCCACAAAAGTCGGTGCCTGCACGCGGGCGCAATGCATGCACGGCCAGCGCTCTTGGACACCCCAGATCCTCTGCAAAAAGCAGCGGCAAGCCTCACTTTGGAAGCAGCGGTAGGCCATGACCGCAGCAGCCTGGGAAACCCTTTTTGCGCAAATCTCGGCAAATCGTGCCGAACAGGTTCACTGGACCTCGCCGTTCCGATCGACCATTGGGCCCCAATGTCGACACGCGTGCCACACGCATTCCGGCGCGCCCCCAAGCCGCAGCACAGCGCGAGGGACACCGCCGCAAGGATCTGCCAACCTCCGTGGATGACCTGCCATGCTCCCCTAACCCATGGCTGCAGTGCTGGATATGGAATTCACTGGTTGTAGTACCCCCCCCCCCCCCAGTTCAAAACGCAAGCGCCACATGGATGCTCGGACAAAACACGTAGGAGTGTTCCTGATGAAGCGTTCCACAAATAACAACTCGGGAAGAGTCTTTCTGCACTCCGTAGGGTCATTCAAGACATGTCACCCCTTCAACCAAATGTGCTGAGGCAGGTTGGCAGGGCAACTGGGCCTCTGGATATATGCACAGCTGTTCAGCCAGGCCACCCACGCCAAAACCTCTTGAAGGCGACTGAACATAGTCTCCCCTGCTGGCGTAGGGCCTGAGTGCAGCCATGACATTGTGGCATACCGCTCTAAATCGTGCCATTGCACACTGCTATGACCACCTCAAGCTGAAAAAAGCTTCACTTGCAGGATAGGGCTGGAAGACTTAAAACACTTGGGCCAACCCCCGCACTGCCGCACGCCCTCCGGCTTGCACTTTCATACATAATATGTAGGTGAGAAGATAACGAGCAAAGAGAGCGGAAGCGACATGTCTTCTCGCTCTTCTGGATGATTTCTCCTTGGTTTCCCCTTTCTGCATGGCCCACAGGTGTCCCGCTTTGGAGGGCATCCTTGGAGAAGACCCCCCTGAAATCCCCTTAAAGCCCCACTTTAAATTTGCTCAATCCAGGGTTAACATTCACCTTGAGCCGAACCCACACTTGGGGAACCCCCCGAGCCCGGCGCTGCCAGCCAAGACCAGGCCCATGGCCGCCAGCTCTTCCGGGCTCATCTGCCGGTCCTCCAAGCCTCACATCCGACTTGGGACAGTTGAGTCACTTGCTCAAAACCCGGTATTAAAATGGTTGGCCCAGAACCATGGAAGGAAATACGAAGGCGGCCGCAACTGTTTATGGCTGGGATTGTCCCTTACTAACCTTCATCTACCCAGGTTTTGATTGTGGCTCAGTTCGGCGTGGAAACCGATGGATGGTCTGCCCAACAATCCATGTGGCATCCGCAATGACAAGCTTGACATCTGTCCACTCACCCGACGAAACCAACCACAATTGGCTGCACAAAGAAAAACGGGCATCCGGCCATGCTGTGGGGTTAAGGCCCCTGACACGCAAGCACCGAGGATCGCATCTGGCCGTCGAAGTCGGAAGCACCGCCTCGAGAACACAAGGGCGTTCGATGTGCCTTCCGGATCTACAGGTGGGAAGATTCCAGTAAACTTTCCTGAGCAATGGCACCAAGCAAAAGCCTGCCCTCAACACCTGGCGGTTTGATCTTGTAATCCAGGCTGACGGCAGACTGGCCAGTGGCATGCTTTCGCGTGCTCAAGTGAAGCATTTCAACATACTTTGCAGGAACCTGCTGACTGCAAAGTGTAAAAGCAAACTGTTTGGACCATCCCCCCCACTGAAGCACTCGGCTTTGGGCCACTTCCGTCTCGCCATATGTCCAGCAAGTAGCAGTGGCCCCAAACCTGGCTGAGCAGAATACCACCTCGTGACCTGGCAACAATGAGGTCATAACATGAGCTAGCAGCCGTCATGGCTCGTACTAAGAACGAGTACGAAATCTAGCAGCACCAGCTCAAGACGCTGAAATTGCAAAGATGCCGCGGTGCTGAGACGACGGCGACCTCTGCCTTGCTTGCGTTCGGCAACTCGGAGGCACCTTGGCACTACCAACGGAGCGCAAATGGCAAGAGCCTGGTTACTGAAGCATTTTAGACATGTTTCCAATTGTTGCCACATCATAAGGGGGCAAACTGGGCGTAATAATGCAAGCCACCTCGGAACCCAAAACAACATGGCAATCGGCTGCCGGAAAACAGCAAGCCATGCAACATAGCAACAACTCGCTAGCTACTGCGGATGCAGCATCAACAGCTGCAACTACAGCAACCAGTAACTATAGCTGCCGAAAACATCCCACAGCACCGTCACATTGCAGTGGGCCGCTCAAGAGTAAGGCTGGTGCTTGAGCGCGTTGGCCACGGGAAGTGGCACCTTGATCACGGCACCGTCGACAAGCCGAGTCAGTCATACTCTCAAAAAGCAGGTGCCCAAGCGAAGGCAGTGGGAAGGAATAAGATATTGAGTCATTTTCTTGGCACAGAATAGAGATTTACAGGAGGCCCGCTTGGTATGGCAAATGCAAATGATGGAGCGGAACTGTGTTGTTGGCGCAGGCATGCGGAAGGCTGCACTAACCGCCTTTCTAAGTATATAGATTCTACTATCGACTACCTGCGTAGACTACGTCTACGTAGGTACCATTTTATACATGCCATTCGCTTGCAAGCCATGTGTGAATTCAATGCATGCTGCCGCATCACCTGACCTGACGTGAAAACAACAAAGGAGCTGAGGGCATAACAAGGCTCCACTGCTGCGGCCGTCGCAAGCTGATTGAGCAGCCTGGGCACTACGCAATGTCTGTGCATTAGGACGCTAAAAGCTAGAACACCTTAACTTTGGCCGCAGCTTGCAAGATTGGGTCCCTTCATGCGCGCAAGCAGAACAGGATCAACAACAACAGAAACGGGAGCAACCCGACAGCACCGTTGCAAGCAGACTTTCATGGGTGTCAGGCTTTTCAAACGTGTCAAAAGCAAGAATGGGCCAACTCCACTCTGCGCTAAACAAACCCTATTGGCAGGCATTGCCTGGGCCAGCCCCGGGAAAGTCTAATTTGGAAAAACCTTTCCGGGCACCTGAAAAGCCAGTCCGGACAGAGCGGACCGAAACACGTAGCAGATCCACCCCCGGCCAACATGCCCACTCTTGAGCCTGCAACCTTGGCCCCTTCCAGGCACAAACCTCAAGAGAACCTTTTCGAGGTCAGCTGTTGAGACATGGCGAGCATGTTGGAATCAAGTAATGCGACGACAAGGCACCGCTAAATCAAAAAACAACAACACCCCAAACTGTGAACCGTGCACATGCCCTTCATGCCAGGCGGCCCGGGGCTGCGCGGCAGTGGTCGCCAGCCGCTGCGCCAACGGCAGCCTCGAGAGAATCAGCGGCGTGGTGAGAATCAGAGGGGCTGTGCGTGCAAGGTGCGCAACGGTCCACCAACTGAAGTCCATGCCATTGCTCGGCTTTGGCGATGCAGACCCAGCCCGCAAAGTGCGGATGAATGCCGGAACAAGAATGCATCTTGCTGCGTCGCTTTTGGCACGGAGCTTGTCTTGCTGATAGCTCTGCTCGGCGCGTCCCAGATGTTGATTCTGATTTCAATGGCGCTCTCAGCTAGAAATGGGTTGTAACCCATCTTGCAAGCGAAGGCGCGTGAAAACAAAAATCGGCAAAACATGAAGCTAGCATGTCTGCTTTCCTAGATCACGTAGTGTGGACTTGTAGTCTGTTTCTGTCGATGTCTTTGAGACCATGGCTGATGAGTTGGATGAGGGGCGAATGACCTGGAAAATCGGGAAATGTTGCCAAAAGAGGAACATAAAACAACTGCGTTTGTTCACTGCGATGCTCTTAATAGGGGAGTGCACGGCGTCAATGTCTCAATATAAAAAGGCAACACGTCCAATGCTCATGGATCAAACACTTTAGGAGAAACACAAGGTTTATGCGCAAGGCTATGCTCTAGGGGTTCGCACTGTGTGCTGAGTTGCCCTTTTGCTTCGCACATATATATATATATATATATATGAGCCAGCGTCTGCTGTGTGGGGCGTATTCATTCTACTTTTAGTGAGCCCCCTATCGTTCTCCACGTTTCGCGCGTGCGTGCAGCGCCCGATGAACCCTCTTCAGGGATCGCGCGCCTCGAAGCGCTCTCGCTGTGGTGCCGTGCGAATGCATAAAGTGCCCAACCAACCCTCTGCGAGGATTGCGCGTATCAAAGCGCCCTCGCTGTGATGCCGTGCTAATTTGAAAAGCGCCCGCCGAACCCTCTGCAGGGATCCTGCGTGCCCAAGCGCTCTCGCTGTGGCGCCGTGCGAATTCGTAACGCGCCCAACGAACCCTCTGCGAGGATTGCGCGTCGAAGCGCCCGCGCTGCGACGCCGTGCGAAGTTGAAAGGTGCCCGACGAACCCTCTGCAGGGATCCTGCGTGCCCAAGCGCTCTCGCTGTGGCGCCGTGCGAATTCGTAACGTGCCCAACAAACTTTCTACGCAAACACAGCATTGGCATCGTAACCACATGCGTAGTCTTTCGAACACGAAGCGCCACCTTCTGCGGGTTCCATCTCTATCGGCATACACCAACCAACAGCACCCAAGCAGCATGCAGTCATGCATGGTAAAGGGTAAACTGGTTATTTTTGAAACCCACTCCCAAGTTCCACACACCTTTTCGCTCTTCGCTGGCTGAGCTGTCACTGCCAGAGGAGGAAGTGGACGTGGAGCTGTCGGACTCAGCAGCGTTTGCTGCTTCCTTCTGCGCTGCAACTCGTTTCCGCTGCTTTTCTGCCCGGCGCCGTCGCTTCTCTACCAGGCTGCGGGCATCTGGCAACCCTGTAAATGCCTGGTCCGCTGAGTTTGCCAGCAACTGGTGTTGGGCTGACTGTCTTCGTGTCAGTGCTGTTTCATCATGAAGCCCAAGAGGCACGACATCATGATCCCAACGGCTTCTGTGTGCTGAAGGATGTCTGCTGAAGGATGTGTGCTTGTCTTTTGTAAGCAAATACACTAGGCCTCACATTGGCAACTCCGGGACATTGCAGGGGTATCGATGGGGTATCGACAGGGGTATCGTGCTGGGCGTGTATCAAGTTGCGGAAAACTTCCACAATTTGCTATATGCTATTAGGGCCAAGCAAGCACACAAAAGCCTTCTCTGCCTTGCGGTAGTCGTGTGATCAGCGTACTAAACTATCCTTGTCTGCTCCCAAGTGTTGGTGAAGGGTCGCGCGGTCTCGCGCTTGGGCCCAGCCATCGGTTTAGGCGGTTTTGCTTGCTGGCTGCAACTTCCAGGTCGCAAGTCGCAACTTTCAGTACAAGCGCGGTACACAAGTTACACTTCGGCAGCTCCAGCTCGAATGTCGCAGCTTGCGCCGGGCTTGTGAGCCGCTCACGCCGCTCAACGCTCCACATTGCTTGCAAGCAGAATGACACTTGAGACGTGAATGAATGCATCATGTTCACAAACCATGTTCAGAGGGGTATCGTTTCTAGTGAGTCCCCTATCGTTCTCCAAGGAAAATGCAAAAAAGCAGTCTTGAATGAAACGCCGTTGATAAAGTGGTCTTTGATAATTCTGAAGTTGACTCATATGTGTGTGTGTGTGTGTGTGTAGGCTCCGCCTGGTCATTCTCAAACGCCAGGGCTAACAGGAGGTCAGCTGTTTTGCGGGCTTCATGTTTTCAGGACTCGTACCATGGAGATACTGAAGCCAGCAAACTTCATCAGTGATGACTTTTGCGTAGTCAGAATGTGTCATGATGATTCAGGAAAAGGGCGTAGAGACAATTGACTGTGGATCACACTGCCTGGTTCCGTCATTTGCCAGGACAGAACTGGGTCAATAGGCCAGCCGGTTCCCCCTTTAAATGATTGACCGATATGAATATGGGTTCAAATTTGTCATACATGAGCGATTGCCTCCGATTTTACATGTCAATTTGCTTGAACCAAATGAAGAACTAATCTTGCCTGCATCCGCTCTTGCCCAAAAAGCAAAAGGCAGCCATGTGAGGAAGTGATGAAGCATTCGCTTGGAGAGCTGGCCAAAAAGCCGGCTTTCCCGCAGTCAAGCCAAGAGGATAGTAGAAAGACCTTGGCTTTGGTGATCAAATTGCTCCAAAGGGTGGACATGTGACGGTCATTTTCCAACGAGCCGCCCAACGCTCGCCAGGTCCATTTCAATTGTCCTAGCCCAACTTGTGTTCCAGCATGTTCCGGCGACATCACGTGAGCTATGGCCATCTCATTCGCGAAGCATCACTGCGGCAATCACTGTTGAGCTCAGCTGTGGTCGGTCACGAACAGCCGCTTGCCCAGAACCATCCGACATACCAAATTAGCCGTTTCCCACCACCTTCATCAACAGAAATCGTTGAGGGCCACGGCCCATCCAATCTGACGTGATTTCAAAGCCATGCCTCGGCTCACACGGAACAACCGATTGATAGCAAGAATTGCAAGTTTTGCAGCGACTGTGAAACGAGGACAGGAAGTGTCTAGCTGGATGCAGCCTGAGGCTTCTAGGGGCTCCTTTCAAACACAACCGCCAGAGAAAGAGAGCAAGACACGAATGAAAGATAACGAGAAAGCGGGAGAGGGAGAAAGAGATAAAGAGAGAAAGAGAGAAACGGACAAAGAGAGAAAGAAAGAAAGAAAGAAAGAAAGAAAGAAAGAAAGAAAGAAAGAAAGAAAGAAAGAAAGAAAGAAAGAAAGAAAGAAAGAAAGAAAGAAAGAAAGAAAGAAAGAAAGAAAGAAAGAAAGAAAGAAGAAGAGAAAAACGGGGAAAAAAAAAAAAAAAAAAAAAAAAACGAAAAAAAAAGGAGAAAAAAAGAGAAAGCGAGCAAGCGAGCAAGCGAGAAAGAGAGAAAGAGAGAAAGGGAGAAAGGGAGAAAGGAAGAAAGGGAGAAAGGGAGAAAGGGAGAAAGGGAGAAAGGGAGAAAGGGAGAAAGGGAGAAAGGGAGAAAGGGAGAAAGGGAGAAAGGGAGAAAGGGAGAAAGGGAGAAAGGGAGAAAGGGAGAAAGGGAGAAAGGGAGAAAGGGAGAAAGAGAGAAAGGGGGAAGGAGTTTTCATAGCGGATACCTTGCATGCTCGAAACTACTTCAACCTGGGATCGCTGCACTTGTCACGACATCGAAGTATTTCTAAGTGGCAGTCACGACCGCTTCCTTGCCACTAGTCATACTGTAGGTCATTGCTGCATCATGATCACTCGCCCAAAAACCCCCCAACAATTCTGCATGCGGTCTGCTTCTGATAGAACCGCAGCGGCTGCCAGTCGTCGCGCTGCACGTGCAAGGTCACGAGGCCCAAGCCCCACTGCCTCGCCATGATCTCCGCCTCGCCGAGCAGGCGCGCCGCCAGCCCGGTGCCGCGCCAGGCGGGCGCCACGGCGAACTGCTCCAGGTAAGCCACTGGCTCCAAACCTGCCCAAAGGCTTGGCCTTTGGGATCCATGTCAGGAATCCGTGGCAACATATGGCCGTCCATGCAACCCAACTTGCACAGGATGCAAACTGGGCGGACATGGATCTGGCTGTTGCAACTCGAACCTCAACAGCACCTTGGATTCTCGGCATAAACGAAACGAACAATCAGCCCGAGGAAGGGTGTTCAAAAACAACTGATGTATGCACCTGGCCAAATAGCAATCACTCAGCAAACTGAATCAAGGCGCCATCTAGAGTAGGTTGGATATGTATCACTTCTGGACCAGAACGGACATCAACTAGGAGCCACAAGTGTTCCACCTCGGCATACCTATCCTCGGCCCCCAGGCATCCCGACATGACCACACTTCAACTGCTGTGCACCTGCAGGCTACTTCTGCATCCTCTACAGGGCACACGTCACAAACAGGCCACTGCTTATTTACTTTTGGTGTTAAAATGATTGTAGACTTTATTGCCATGCTTCCTGATCCGTTGTCTTTGGTGTTGATTCCTGCCATTCCTCTTAAATCGCGTTCAACATTAGCTTTCAACACTGGAGTTTGTCTTTCTGAACCTGTATTTGTGTTTCTACTTGCTTACTTCTCCTTTTCAACGTTCGTTTTGAGAAAGCTGTCAAGATTAAGACTCTGCAGTCTGAGCGAGGATTGTTCTCAAAGATTATTTCAGAAGCCAGGCCGAAGAGGCTGCAAATGCAAGCTTGAAAAGAGAACCTGGCCAAGCAAAGGATCAGCAAGAAAGGCTGAGCCTACTGAAATAGTCATCAAGGGGCTACTCAAGAACAGCAATCCCACCACAGCAATCCAACCGAGCCATGCCTGGAGCTTCCTGCACTTGCGCATATGGCACGGTGCGCACTGCCACCTTGCCATTGCCACCATCTGCTCCAAGGTGGCATGCTTGTGGCAGCCACTTGACCCGCACGGCCAGTGTTCCAACCAGTTCGGATTCAGACACCTCAACGGGGCGCGAGAGGTATTTCACTGTTGCACTTCGATGTTTTTGGCTACAAGCGCTTTGTTGTTGCAGGATCCAATCGCTTTACTGGGACATGTTCTCAGTCCAATGGAGATAAAGGAATCCCAGAGGTCCACGCGCAGCCATGTCCATGCTTATCCCAAATTGAGCATCCCGTTCAAACTACAGGAACGGATAACTCCACGTGTCGAGCCTTTACCTACGAAGAGCCAACGCAAACCCCTTGGAAAAGCCGGAGAACAAGAATAGAAGTGAAGAACAGGAACCCGAAGAAAGACACGAGTACAGAGTAATTAGACGGTGAACAAGGTAAGAAAGGAAGAAGGGGAGGTGTGTTTGAATTGAGTTTACATGGCCAGTGAGTTGAGTTGTTGAGTTGAGCTTGGAAAGTTGCTTGAGTGCACTGCCTGCTGAAGACTCAATGCTCCTGTGGGACAACGCCCCGCGCAGTATGCTCGTTTGTGCGTTGAAAAATTGCCACACGAATGATGATCCCAGCAATCAAACCCACGTGTCCAGCAACTATGTACGAAAAGCCATGCAAAACATTTGGGAATTGTCGGAGAAGAAAAGCCGGACAAGAACCTAAGAAGAATGAAAGCGGAACAAAAGCAGGAGCTGAAGAAAGAGGAGAGGAGGTGGGGAAAAGGTTGTGAATGAGTTTGAATCACCACGAGGCAGCTGCTCATCGCAAGAGGAGGAGGAGGAGGCGGGAGAGCCGGAAGAAAATAGAACCTGAACAAGAATGCAAGACATGTCCGGAGCAATCCCAACACAAGCTTCTACCCCTGAACTTTCAGGGTCTTCTTCATTCTTCCTGCCAGGCAGCCGCAAGCAGGACGCCGCCGTAGGAGTCCAACATCTCATCACAGGCCCTCACAAGGTTTGCCGTCCCTGTACTGCGGAATCATTCAAGTACAGAAATAGCAATTAATGATCTAAGAAATTCTTATCTACAAGGTCGTCTATTCAAATTCTCATGATTCTAATACCAAGTACTGCTACGAGTCATCTATTCAAATTCATTGAACACAAGCCAACCGTGGAATCAACAATGGAGCAATAGATTGCAACCATTTCAGATTCACAATGGAACACAAATCTCATCACCAACATGCAGGAGAACAAAATCACCGGAACATTTTGCAGGTGCATCACTAAGCCACTTCGCGGTCCAAGCAGTTGCTCTGATGTTTCTTCAGATCCTTAATGATCTTCATATGCTTCGCCAAGCGTGGCCCCCATTTTCGACTGGAAGGTCGCGCGGCGACGCACTTGCCGCGCCTCACCACCTCGTCCTCCGAGCCAGGGACTGCTTTGCGACTGAAAATGGGATCGATGGCCGGCGGAGTATTTGGAAGACCTGGCGCCATCTCGGCGGACGTATGCAAGGCAGCCATCCAGTGAGTCAGGAGGACTGAGATTCGTGGCAAGTACACACAAAGTGTTTTTGAGCGCTGTAGAGCAGTGTTTTCCTCCGTGTAACTCACTTGGACGGTGGATGCCGACAAGAAGCCACTATGCAAGCAACCCGACAAAGAACACACACAACGAGCACGGTCGGAATGATGATAGCAAATGCCCTTCTGGATATCCAGGGCTACTGGGGAACTTCCAAATAAACTTATACGTGGCATTTGCAATGGATGTGACCTGTCATTGGAAGTTATTGAATGGGATTAGCTTGTGCCGGCGAATGCGCAGTGATCCGTATTGATAGCCAAAACCAAGCCCAAGCTAGCGTCCAAGCCAAAAACAACCCATCCTTCCAAAAACCTTAAACACAACATCTATCAAACGTTACGAATCTAAAGCAGCAATTTCCGGATCATGGTTCACTCGCGTGTGAAACGCGATAATGAACAACGATCCGAGGACTTGGGTTTCCTTGATGATGTGATGACCGTGTGAACGACCAGAGCAAGAATGGCTTCTCATCCTGATGGCCCAGCCTCGCGCCTCGCGCGGCATGGCCTAAAAACCCTGACTCGTTGGATGAGTCGGCTGGGCCAGTTGGTGTTTGTTTGCTCACAGACCGCAACAGGTGTCTAACCAATCATTGACCAACCTCGGGCCGAATGACTGGAAACCCAATGCCTTGTCACCATCCCTCACAAATCTGAGGCAACGACGTTCGGTTTTCACTGCTTACGCATATGGTGAGGTCAGCCATGAGGGCCTTGGGGGCCACCAGCCCCCCGCACGCCACACTCGCCTGGGATGAGTCCGTCGCTTCTCCGCCAATCCAAAAAGGCTTGGGGAAACTCCAGGAGCCTTGGCCAGAGCTGCGGAAAGGGCACCAGTTCCGGCGGCTGGGATATTCATCACATTTACCCCAGGTTCCACCCAAATGCGCTCACAAAGCAGGTACATATGGCATACATAGAGACTAATGGGACGTGATTTGCGCCGTGCCTAAATCACACATGAATCTGTGAAACTGATCGTTTACAGAGCTATCGAAACATCATCATAGACTTTGGAGACACCGGAACCTGGAAATGAATTACAGTCATCAATGCCGAGCAACTGCAGCGCCACCGGGATGTCCGAAAAGGAGCCTGCTTCGAAGCCCGGAATTGAGCGATGCCCCAAACGAAATGCACCATGAACGGCCACATGTTTCATTGTCACTGCTAGGGCGTTCAAGAGTTCAAGGGACTGATAGAAACGTTTAGAAGCTAGAATCTCCGGAATTCGGAGTAAACATGGAATGGTTCGGACGTCAAAATCCTTGCGAAGATTTGGATGGAGGCAAAAAGCAACTCTTAAAAACACTGGCAATCGCCAATCACACCCAATGAGTGCGCCCGCTTCTCAACCATGAACAAAATCCCAGTCACCTCCCCCAAACTCCCCAAAAGCAGGCCTGCGAACAAGTAGGCCTCCCAAATGCTGGAGAGCGATGTCGCTGGGCGCAACTGGATCCCTGCCGTCATGTCCTCACTGGACTCGGAGCCCAGCTTCTGCAGACCCAGCCGCTTCGGCCGGGGCGGTGCCCGACGCAGCCATCCGCGCAAGGACGGCATACGCCCTCGAGGCGGTATGCCTACAAGGCGACATGGCCACGACGCATCGGCTCTGCAACTGTCCCTGCCCGAATCCAAAGGACCAAGTCCGCCCCGCTCGCAACCCCTAGTGCGGAATCGCCAGTTACACCTACCGCAGTCGCCCCAGCCTAAGAGCGTGCGGCTCCACACAAATGCCATCACCAATCCCAGCATGGTCGCGGGCTGAAACCAGCCAACCACGTCCAGCGGCATTGACTCTGCGCCGGCATAACGTGCCACACGCACAGCTGCACCACGTTGAGCATGCCCATCTGCTAGCAGCCGGCGGGCTGCAACAAACGTCGCAATGTCATTGCATATGATGTGGCGGGTGGCACGCAAAGGAAAAAACGACTGTACCGGTGATTGAGCCATCTTTTCCCTGTCCATATTGCATCCAATCATTTGACATCCTGAACTGCAACCTCTACTGCTTATTGTTGCTAGTTTTGCCCCCACCCCACCCCCCACCCCACGCAGCGTTCTTCGGAAGGTCACCCGAAATCCCCCCCTAGATGCTTCACTGAACCCAGGATCTGGTTTGCTGAATATGGGTTTGTGTATTTTCAGGGGACCAATCTTAAGAATGGTTCGGCTAAAGGGAAACCAAGAAATTGCACTCAATTTGTTGGAGCCTATTTTGGCACAAGAATCACCCAACTGTACGTCTGCAACACCGTTCCGCCCGCTCAGCATCACCGGATAGTGCATGAGCCGCGTCCGGACGCACTGAATCGTCCACGGTCCTAGCGCCCGTCTCCCTCTCGTGCGGCAGGTTTACGTGGCAAGTTTGTGTGGGCATGAAACTGCGGGTCGGCCGCACGCGATCGACCAGTCAGAAGGCGGACCCACATATGCCGGCTCCCTATGGTCGAGCTCCGGCGCCTCAGCCCCCAGGAAACAGTGAGCTCGGCACCACTGACGCCCGGTGTGAGTCGGCCAGCCACCTGAGCCGTTGCTCACGTCCGGGTGGATAATCACATGGATGCTGAAGGAGCGTCGGCAAGTCGACTTGGTCAAGTCGGGCAGGGCAGAACGGAATGCGTGACAAGCCCGCCGGGCTGGGAGGGCTGTGTCCAAGTCGGCCTCAAACTGTGCCTGGGCGCGGGCGGGACGTCATCTGCAGGCAGCTGGTCCACAGCCAATATATAGCTGGTTGTTTGTCCCCTGTTGTTTCTGCGTGTTGGGACATGTGTGTTCTTCAGTTCCGCCGTCCGCCCTCGGTCCCGGCGTCTCATTTCCCCGTCGCCTTGAAAAACCCTGCAGGTCTCCCAAGCCACCGTGTCTCAAAGCTATCTGGGCTAAGCAAGCCGCTTGCTGGGGGAGGTGGCCACTGTGATCAGCATTAAGCAAGGAATACAAGCACTGCTGAACGGCTTGGTCACTGGCACTGGCAAAGCCTGCTGTCAAATTAGGGGATGCATGCGTAAGGCGTCGTGGCGACGCGCAGTACAACAACAGAAGCCAAGCTATTTGCAAATCGGGTAGGGTCGGAAGGACTTGCAAAAAACGCAGCTGGCTGTCACTTACTGCGGTGAGCTGAGTCTACACATAAGCGTCTGTTCCCAAACGGGCCCCCAAAACCGTGATTCCCCTCTCCTCTGCAGGCGGGCCATCCGCGCCGCACCAGGCTGTGCCATCTGGCGCGAGAGTGTCGAGTTCAACGGCGGCAGCATTCCACACTCGCGTCTTGGCGTGGTTCAAGGAAATGTGGACTTCCTCGTACCAGCGCCGGGCCACTGCGTCAAACAAGGTCCTAACTTCTAACCCTATCAAGAGCGGCAACAATGTACAAGTCGTCAAAGGAAAGAAAACAAAGGTCCCCCTGGCCGCAGCTCTGTCTGCAGAGCGGCTCAGACACGATGCAGCCCTAGCGAAAACAGTGCTGGCATTGGAGCCCTTTTCGATTGAAATGCTAATCGAATCGTTACTTTTTCGATCATCATGGGGCAGCCAACCCCCCACTACTATGTAGATTTGTTGCCCCGAATTGAATGTCCAGCCCTCCTGTGCCTGGAGGCATCCCTAATGGTGGTTTTGGGACAAGACTTGCTGCACCGGAAAATTGCGCGTTAAAAATAGATAAGCGCGCTCCGATGATGCTGACAGCTTGTTTCTCAGCGGTGACGCAGCCCGTGGGTGGCAGCGGCATGCCACTGCGGCCCTGGTCTCTTCCAGGACCTGTCCCTCCACCTTGACCCCTCTGCGCTGGCCCTGTTGGAGTCGCAGCAGGGACCCTTCGCTGGCCGTGTTCTGACCGCTCTCCCCACCAGCCCTGAGCTCACCGCCCCCTCGCACCTTTTCCGGATCGTCTTTCTTCGGCGCCTCCGGCTCCCTCTCCCCATCACCGAAAACACCGTCGATGACCGGCGCCTTGAGGTCATTGCGAACCCATTCCTTGCATGGCGGTGCCCAGCTGGCTGTCGACACCACTTTGGTCTCGCCCCTGGACTCTGCGGGCCAACCCCGCCGCCGTGCGGGGCGAACACGGGGCGCCGCTCTTGTTGAGGCGCGGTTGCGGAAGGAGCGTGACGGTCCAACCGTTGCCGGCTGGTCGTCCTCGCGCTCGAGGTCGGTGGCCGCTGGAGCGAGGAGGCTGCAAGCTTCATCCGCCTCCTTGCTCGGCCCCGCTCCCGGGAGGCTGCGCCTGCCCTCCGCCCGGCCGTTGTTGCAGCTCTGGTCGCTCGGTGGTCTGCTCTGCTCACCTTTGCAGCCCAGCTTTCGTTTCTTTTTTTTCTCGCACGCCTTTTTACTGCTGCACCAGTCGGTCCCCCTCAAAAACCCTGCTTGAAAGGGGGCCTCCGGGCACCAGGGGTAATCACGTCAAGGCCTCCCCACGCGGGAGGCTAGGCTAGGCGTGCGCGGAAAGCCGGCTGGCGAGCACCTCAAGAACGGGGCCGGTGCGGTCGGCAAGCACGTCACTGAAAGCGGGCGCAGGGCCGTCCAGGCAAGACAAGCCAGCGGAAGGCAAAGCAGACAAGCTGGCAGCAAAGGCCTGCATGGCGGCAGCAGTCAAGAAGCCAGACCAGCGGTGGACCAGGGCAGCCTGGCAGGCAACACGCAAGGTCGCAGGGGTGTCTCTGAAGTCGGCAGTCTCGGAGCTCCATCGGCCACCAACCTCGACCCCAAGGACGACGAGGAGCTCGGGGTAGGTCCGCTCCTTCTGACGCCGCGCGTCAAGCAAAGCAACGGGCCGCGCCAAGTCACGGCGGGAGCGCGCAACGGGATCACGCGTGAGGGGCGACACGATGGTCGTGTAGACTGCAAGCTGGGCTCCGTTCCACAGGGGCAAGCCGTTAGCAATGACTTCGACGCGCCTGTCGTCCAGGCGGTCGACAGGGGCATTCAAATCGCGTACAAGGGTGTTGGTTGTGACGTGTGCGCCGGCCTCGCGGCAAATCCGCGCAGCAGCGCGCTCGAGAGGGCAGCCGCGACTGCGCAAGGCACCTGACCGGGGGCAAGCTGCACGATGGTCGCCAAGAGGGTCGAGAGGGCGATCGCACCGGCAGCTGCGGGCGGTAAAGGGCAAAGGCAGGCGCAAGCACCGCAACAAAAACACGCGGAACAGCGCAGGAGAGTAGGCAAGCTCCGTGCAGCTCGGCACGCTGGTGAAGACCCGGCTGCTGTAGGGGCCAGTTTGCGAAAACAAAATTGTTAAGGCATGTTGCGCTGCTCCTAGCTTGAACCCAAACATGAACCCCCAAAAGAACAAAGCAAGTCCGAAGCGGCCGCAGTTCTTTTTACCGGGATTGCTGAAAGTAGCACTGCTTCCAGGGCACTGGTGCGCCCGGAACAGGAGGTGCGTTGACCCCCCGTGAAACTAAAACGGGCAAGACAATGCGTGTCCTTGCAAGTGAATGCAGTGCTTGCAGGGCGTGGCATGCGTGCCCGCGCCCAAGGTCCGGAGACTGAATGGTCCGGAGACCAGAGTTGGTCCGGAGACCTGGTCCGGAGACCAAGAGGTCCGGAGACCACCAACGAAAGTGCAGAGCGTCTGCGACCTATACTTGCAGAGCCTTGTATAAGGCAGTGCAGGGTGGGTGGGTGGGTTTCAAATGAAACCGCAGGTTTGGGTCAAGGCTAGGAGCAAAACGGCCACCGCGTAGTTCGATTCACAACATGCCCTAAACACAAGGGAAAAGAAACCCTAAGCGTTAAGGCATGTTGCACTGCTCCTAGCTTGAACCCAAACATGAACCCCCAAAAGAACAAAGCAAGTCCGAAGCGGCCGCAGTTCTTTTTACCGGGATTGCTGAAAGTAGCACTGCTTCCAGGGCACTGGTGCGCCTGGAACAGGAGGTGCGTTGACCCCCCCTTCAGTGTTTCAGGCAACCCCGGTATAAGCGAGCCAGCTGGGCCGCCGGCCTCATCACCCGCCCTTCAGAGTGGGGTTGTACCTGGCAGGGCAAATGTCCGCGTGACAATGCACGCTTGCGGCTGTGAGCAGCCTGTTGCTCAGGGTCTGCACTTTTTTCGGTCAGAGCGGCTTGATGTAAGCGGCTGGCTGACGCAGCCAGTTGTTCTGGCTGACAGGGCGAAGACGGCCATTTGGTCGCAATGCATGTTGGGATGCAAATAAGGCTGGCTAAGCAGTGCTGGAGGCAGCTGCCAGGTGTTCCGGGCGCCAGGGCGCATCCATCGGACACAGCTGAATGCCTCGGCCTGACATTGCTAGGCCCGCAGGGCTGAAGCGTATGCGACTTTCAGGGCGATGGCTGAATCGGGCCAACCGGCCAACCGACCTCTGCTGAGATCGTCTGCCCAATCATTGCACCTTCCTGGAACGTGCGTCGGCTGCAGCAGCACATTGTGAGCGTGAGCCCAGAAGGCTGTTAACTGCACGAAAAGTTGCAACGGCCAGGAGGTCGTGAACAACTTGTTAAGGCTTGCTTCCGTTGCGGAATTGTCCGTGCCTGAAGGCATGCTGAACGAGTAGTGCCCACCACCAATGTGGCTGTGGGTTGCTTGCAGTAGTGCTAACTGTGCCAGCGTCTCGAAACATGCGATGTACCGCTGTCCAGGCTTGACAAGGCAAGGCCATACGGCCCGTATGTCCCGCATGTTCCAGGTTTCGGCAAACCAAACCACTTGGAAGGATGTGATTGCCCAGCCCCCTATCCCTACCAAGTCGTCTTCGGCACACGCATCCGCGGCAGCCAGTGCTTGCAGCTGGTGTGGCCGCGCCAAGGGCTGAACGGGCGAGTGCTGAAAGCACAACGCCAGCCATGTAAGGCTTTGCTGGAAAGGCTAGTATATGGGTTATTGGGGTCCGCGATGCGCACCCACGTGGGTTTGCTAGTGCCGGGCACCCGCGGGATGTCCTGAGGGCAGTGCATGGTGCGACCTGAAATTTCCAAGATTTTGGAGCCCACTGTGATCCACAA